TTAACGTGATCACGTTTACATGTTAGGTGGGGTAACCCGCCACATGTTACCTCACGTACCTGGGGTCCCCCACCTTCATGTAAACAGGCCCAAATACTCAAATTGCACGCTAATTTTGCTATAAAACGCCACTTACCCTGACATATAGCGTGCTAAAAGAAACAAAAAGTTTGCTAAGTGCTGTTTACCAAAACAAAGCCAAGTGTGTCCTGCTTTGTTGTAGCAATGTAATATGCCCATCATATCCGTGAACTAAGGCGCGCTAAGCGAGTCATGCAAGCGTGTCGTTAGCGTGCTTTAGCATCAAAATTCTGTGGAGGGACACATTTTGCCTCTTGCAAACTATAAGCGTCAGTACCAAGTAAAGGCACGGAGTCTATTGTCGTGTTTCAAATTAAAGCAATTCTTGAAAGGTATTTTTAGATTGAAAGTATAATAAAAGATCGTGACGTTTCTTTAGGGTGACCTCGTTGTAGTTACAGATAAGAAGTTAACGTTTTCTCTTAAAATGCGATTTTGTCAGACACCGACTGAGCTCTGTTTTAACAACCGATCTAAGATGTCTTCGCCACAAGTCGGTCGCTTCAAGTTTTTAAAAACTTTGACTTTGCCGCCTCAGTGAGAGAGTAATTAAAAACTTCCTTAGCAACTTCACAGGCAATGTCTATGACCCTGAAACGGCTCAGTTAACACCAAAAATTATTTTATATTTATTAGTGTAAGAATTAAAAATTCAATCACTAACATTCTACAACTTTTGTTTTACTCCTTATCGTGCCGAGTTGTTAACGATACAACCAAACAACTTTTAATAGTTAACACTATTAAATACCATTAAAAATACATCCATGAAGGCGTCTGTACTTCTACATTTTGTCTCCGAGCAGCACAAAACCGATGGTGAAAGTAAGCTAAAGCAGGCACCTTCTTGTACTCTGACCGCATTCAAAAGGAGAATTCAAAGGCACCAATCCTGAAAATTATAATTATTAATTTAGAAAACCCTGGAATCATTAATTGAAAATGTATGGTCTTGGACTTAAACGCTGGGTTCTACTTCAGTTGAACTGAGTTGATATAGTTGCTTTCCGCTTCGCTGAAACAGTAAAACTTCCCTAGTTACTCAATAGAAAAAGTTAATTAAAGGTATTAAGTATTCTTTTCAATATTTTTGAAGACCAAATGGAGTCTTAATTGGAACTAGACAATGAAAAGTTAAAAGTTTTAGTTTCCATATTTACATTTCATTTTTTCGTGTGCACTGTGTAGTGCTGTATATGACTTCTCTCACAAAACGTTCCTTGACAGAAGTGAGGCAACCCGTGAAAAAATCCAGCTCAACCGAACATATTTCTTTCAAAAGATTTTCTTCCAAGTTTTTTGCAGGCCAAAGGAAATTAAAACACTTTTCTGAGAATAGTTACATGTAGTAGCATTGTCCGTCAGTATAACCTTCATTCTTGGGAGCTCGTGGTAAAAGCGCAGCTGAATAGCTCCAAAAGCCTCAGGATGGAACTTATATGACCCATAATGGACCTACTTGTCTACCACCCTTTGCATTACGCCATTTATCAGTTCGTCCATAGGAAAAATTAAGCTTACGGTTTTCTTACTTTTCATACACTTTTAAAAACCAAATGAAAAAAGGAAAGCTTTTTGGCAGCAGTCAAATAAAACTTGTAGGTTTAAGGTCTTACTTAACAAGGTAGTCTAACAATGATTGACAGAACAGTGATACATTAGTTGTAGATTAGTAGATTTTAATCCATTGTTTTTTATTGGTCGTTCTAATTTTGATTGACGGAAGAGTAAAAAGCGAATACTTAATATCTTTTGCTTCAGAGTTTGCTTTTCATTTTCCTTCAAAGAAACGAAGGTAAGTTTTAAGTTATTTAAACAAAGTCTAAGTCAGATAACGGTAGAAAAAATAAGTGTATCTTAGAAACCTACATGTATTTATAATAAGTGGCTTGTTTTTAGTTGAGGGCTCTAACTGCGTTAAGCCTGGTTGGCCGGACCAAAACCCAGGATCTTTTAACTGAGGAAGAGTATACTAAGTATTCTTTGCCTACAAACAGATAACACTTCACTTGACTAAAAAAAATAATGAAGAAATAGCTGATCTCGTCAATATGGGAAAATCTATATGTATTGTAGTGTGTTGATACTTGCGCACCATTGAACAAAATTTAGCTTACATCACTAATCATCCTAGGCAAAGTTGAAAATAATTAAGATCGCCATTTTATTTTAAAACACCGTTAAATCTCTGTTTTTATTTTTTATAACCGGCCAACCTAGATGTCTTTGCCCTTAGTTATTCCCTCAATTTTTAAAACTCTTTTTATTTACTTTTCTAAAGTGGAGGCAGTTTCCGCTTCAGTGCGAGACAGTAAAACTACCCTAGCAACTAAACAGGCAAAGTTTCTAAATAAACAATTCAGTTATAACCGATTATCTTTTCAGGTTTTTTGAATGCAGAAACTGATTGAATTCGGCATTTCTTTTCCCCGGTGAGTAGGTGCTACTCGTGTCGAGTAAGTTATGCTGCGAACAAATTTTAAAAGCAAAGGCGGAAAATTTTCAGTTTGCGTCTACTGGTCAATTATAAAGCTCTACCAAAGCCTACATTCTACTACCAGGTTTCGATATATCTAGCTATATGTACCCTCTCACTGAAAGGGAAATTTTAGGATTATCAACTGAACACATTACTAGATTCAAATCATGAGTCCCGAAATGATCAAAGTGACGTGGTCTTTCTATGTCAGAATGAATTGATATTGGTTGACTGAGTCAGTAGAACTTTCATAGGAGCTCAATCGACAAAACTTGTTAACACAAATAACAGTAATAGAGATCACTTAATTCATTGATTTAAATCAGACTGATTTTTTGAATTTTAGTATTCTACAACATTTTTGTCTGTCTATGTGAAAGTGCTAATCTTGCCAGCGTTACGCATTTATTAAGGGGCAAATACAAAGATGCCAACACAATGACTGTCCGCAAAAAATGTTCGAAGAAAATCAGCCTCTTCCCCAGACCATCATAAAAGCTACCTCCTCCGAACAAATCATCAAAAACACGATGGCACATTGGTAGTTTCAAGGCAGCCCCGTATAAATGGTCAAAGTGATCGTTAGCTAAAGTGTTGGTACTTTCTGTTTCAAGAATTGATATTGGTGCATGTTTCCGCTTCATGATGAAGCAGTAAAACTTCCCTAGCAACTCAAAAAAGGGAAAATTTATAAACAAATGGCCACAGTCGTAACAATAAGTATACAAAGTCATTTTCCTTTTCATATGGGAGCAGCGCAGGTTTGCTCAGCGCTGAACCACATTAGACACACTTGATAGTGGAAAGAGGAAACCATCGTCGCCACTTTTGAAATAATTTGAGGAAGCTAAGAGCATCAGGTTTTCATAGAAATATTAGCAAAGGAAAGAAAGAACTCAGAAAGGTCGTGTTACCGTAAGATTATCTGAACACATTCAGTGCCAGAATCATCAAAGTGGTCTTTAATTTAAAATCAATCCTAAAATCCTTGTGTTCTGTTTTAAAATTAACTAATATTCAGGGTTGACTGACAGAGTAGAACGTTCCTAGTTAAACTTCATCGGCAAAGCTTCTTAACAAAAGCAACAGTAAAAGTAGAAAGTAATCAGAGATTTTATTAAAATTATTGATTTCAACAACATTTTTGTTTGGACAGTCATACCAGTCACGGACATTGAGGGGGTCATAGAAAGTGTCCATATAAGGGCTTTCCTTTCCCAAGGGACAAAGTAAACTGTCCGTAATAATGAGGTGTCTACCCGTACTAAGCGGGTGTCCGTAAAGCAAGGGTTTAACTGTATATGTGAAAGTGCTAATCTTTCTTTCGTTACGCATTCATTAAAGAGAAAAAGCAAATATGCAAACACACAACGACAGTCAAAGAGGTTCAAAAAATATCCGCAGAAAGTCAGCCGTCGTAAAAGGCTTCCTCTCCATTCGTCTGCCAACAGCTCAAAACGACAGCTTGATCCTTTGTGTCTCTTTTTTACATGATAGCAGATCATCATAATTAATAGATTCAAACAGCCCTGTAATCATCAAAGTGTTCGTTAACTCAAGTGCGTGCGTTCTGCTTCACAGTTAAAACCCTGGGATTTTGTTTTTCATATGTGAGAAACTCAGATGTGTTCAGTAGCCACGTTAGTGATTTTCGATAGTGGAAAGATGAAACCAACGTCGCCACTTTTAACAAACAACAACAACAACAACAACACTTTATTCACATTTCCATTACAGGGTTTGTCAAACTTATTGAATAATTAGTAACTTAACACGTAGAATATTCAATTACAATTTAAGCTAAATATTATTACATAGAAGGAAATGCCTAGCGGCTAGATAACCGTAAGGTTTGCGAGCTAGCAACTAGTTCTTTGAAAGTAGTGTTGAATGTACAGGACATCACAATAACTAAACATACAAAACATCTTAAGACATACACACACCATAAAAAAAAAGGAGAAGAAAGCACTTAGATGGCAAAAAAAAAGAAGAGAAAATAGTCATCATAGTACATGACGATAATTATGATTAAAATAAAAATAATTTCAGTGAGTTAATTGTTCGGCCAACAAGTATTCTTTTAATGTTTTAGGAAAGTTATAAGTTGAAACGTCTTTTAAATCGGTAGGGAGCTGTTGCCACAATTCGGTCGCCATAGCCGCTGTTGTTTGCTTTCCTATATTGGTCCTGGAACGTGGTTTGTAGAAGTTACTTTTTGAAGCATATCTCGTATTATATGTATGGACTTCACTTGCATAGCAAAAATGCTGATTAAAGATATTTGGTAATTTTTTAGAATGCCACTGATGCGTGAAGTTAAGAAGCTGTAGTTTATAGATATTTGTAACAGTAAGTAAATCCAGTAAATTAAGTAATGGTAATGCACGTTGTTGGTCCAAATATATTTCCATTTGTTGTCCTTCTTAAACTTGTTAATGCTGCCAAACAATTTCTTTCTTGCTTGTGTTAGCGACTCGGAGATATATAATTTCTTCTTTGGGTCTTGGGAAAGATCCCGTAGAGTGCCAACTTTACCAACTTCTTTGCCGGTGATTGTTTTCCTCTTTCCGTAAAACTCGTCCCGAATACTGCGACGCGTAAACTTGACGATAATCTTGTCTTCTGCACTTTTTTTGTAAGTGGGTAAACGGTGGGCTGTGGAGATGTCTTCGTCTTGCAGCTCGATACCCATTTCCTTCCCAATAGAACAAACAAAGTCAAAACAAGATACTTCTTCGGTTGGTAAAACGCCTGTCAGCTCCAAGCAGTCGCGGCGCAAGTATTGAGAAAGGTCTTCAATTTCGCGCCCTATTTTCTTGCACTGCTTCATATCTTCCTTTAGGTTCTTAACATCAGTGGAAAGGCTTGCTGTTCTATCATTTGAGCGCTGTACTTGCTTCAAGAGCTCATCATACTTTGCAGAGAAGTGTTTGACCGACTTTTTCAATTCAGAGAATGACTTTTCAATCGAGGTTAATTTAGCTTTTAGAGGTCCAATTTCGGCCTCCAAGAGTGACTTAATTTCATCTTTAGTTGCCATCAAAGCAATACAATTGCAGATGCCTGCATTTAACAATGGTAGCCGAAAATTTGGCCAACGTTAAAAAACACGTGCGGCCGCCATTGCGCCATATGCTAATATGGCGCAATGGCGCCATATTAGCATATGAGCCGGGAAGAGCACCAAGTTTTCATGGAAATATTGGCAAACGAAAAGCCTCAGAAAAGTCGTGTTACCGTTTTCTTTGATGATAAAAAACAGCCCTTGCCAAATCTCATAATCAATTTGCTTTTGCGCTAACTTCACATACAGTGAAAGAGTGAAGAAAAGATGATATCGAGAATGTCAACTAATTTCGAGTAATGGTTCAAAAAATTAATTATTAGAATGTTTATATCTGATTAAAAAGGGGGGATAGTAAGCAATTAGCCCTACCTTTCTACACCATATTTTAGCACAGATAAATTTTTAGATTTTGTTTCCTCTATGCTTAAATAGTGTAATTTAGTGGTGTAGGGAGGGGGCAAGGTAATTAACTAAATAATAATAAACTGTTAATAAAAGTAGTCAAATCACCAAGATTGCTTACAAAAGTATCGTTAGGATGCCATTCAATGTCTTTTCGTCTCATCCTTGAATATTATGGTGGATTAAGTGTTTTACTCTTTATCCTGTTTTAATACATCTCCATGATGGACTGACATTTCATCTACAGATGGGTAGAAATACAGTCAGTGGAAGATCTCTTAAAGGGAACCTCCACTTCAACAAAAAGATAACTTTAAATCACAGGAAATAACTGTTACAGTCAAGTCAATCTAAAATATTTTTAAAGAAAGCGTTTGTATCCGAAAGAAATAACTTTTAGATTCGCCTATTTTTGTTTTCAAATTTTGCGGGCGTCGCCATCTTGAATAATTGTGACGTGTAATGGTTGCCCTATTGTTATTAAACAAAAGCTCTTTGTGTCAGAACAATAGAGCAACCGTAACACGTCACAATTATTCAAGATGGCGGCGCCCGCGAAATTTGAAAGTGAAAATAAGCGATTTTAAAATTCACTTTTCCTGATATAAACACTTTTTTTAAGACAAATTTCGAACAAATTTGTTTATCAACATAATTTTATTCGATTTAAACTTATTCTGTAGTAAGAGTGGAGGTTCCCTTTAACGAACACTCCTCTGAGTGGCCGACGCAGACACTCTCAGGGTTTACGAGTTAGATTTTGGCCTTTTTTTGTAATTTATTAATTTTTGTTTGAAGTTTTCATTTTACAGAGTACACTTAAAGTAAAAAGGAAAAACAAACGAACAAACAAAACAAAACAAAAAGGCAAAAAAAGAAAAAACTATTACAGCAGACATTATCTAAGTTGATAGAAAGTACTTATCTATATATTTGTGTACAATATTTAAATGTTAAATTAGATCACATATTTATTAACTTTTCCCACTTACTAAGATGTTTACTTAGGTCTACTTAATGTGCCTCTTTTACTGGCAATGTAAAGTTCAATGTTGTAAACACGCCTAGTCCTAGCAATGAACCCCTGAAGGGAGAGCATACCCTTTTGACATTTTTGCGAATAAATTTAGTTCTTCCCAAGCAATAAAATATGATTAACTAGAAGGAAATCATCTCCGACATCCAATTTTCCGAAGATTATATCCTCTTTTTTTAAATTCTCAACAATAATATCAATTAATAAATAACTAAATAAAATGAAAAACGACAGAGAGTAAAGGTATACAAATTATGAAAATCACATAGAAAATCATTTACAATTATTATATAAAACCGAATAAAATATTGGATATCTATATTGTTAAATTGCCAAGTTGTATTGAGACCTTATTCTATTAAAATAGGAATTCTTAAAACGTTCTGTATTAATCCGTGGTAATAGACTTGTTTGTGATCTTAACTTCTTGGATGACTCTTTGACTTGCGGCAAAAGGGCATTTAATGGATGGTTAACATTGTTCTTAATTTTGGTGAACAACCTGCGGTCACACTTCTCTAAAAGGTCATAGATATTAATTAACTCAGAAGTGTAACGTCGCTTATTGCACCATTTTAAAAAGCATTGTATGGTGTTTAAATCTACCTGGCTGGCTCCATTTCCTCGAAGTGCGTGTGTGATCTTTGGCAGAACAGTAGCCTTAAAGAGATGATCTATCTCTACCTGCGTGTATCCATCTTTTCTTAGTGATCTTAAAATGTACAAACGCTTGTTTGCTTCCCGAAGCTTTCCCTTAACATGAGATGAAAACTTACAGTCTTTTTGTAATGTGACACCTCATAGAGTGAAACTGTGACTCTGTTCTATGCCACATAGAGGGGGAAGGTTAGGTGTGACACCTTTTTTAGCCATACAGAGTTCTTTGCATTTGCTTGTGTTACAGCTCATACCATTAACGTCTGTCCACTCCAAAAATGCATTCAGTGCCTTTTGTGATTCATCTACACTATTCTTACGCACAGTCACAAAAATAGAAGTGTCGTCTGCATACTTAGTAAGATCGCTATCCTGGCAGTACTGAGCGACGGCAAGATCTATTAAGAACAGGTTAACCCATTCGCCCCTGAACCGCCCGTAACCGCCCGTGCGGATCCAGGTCCTTTCTACCCTTTGTGACGTCATCAGTTTTAACGGTCAAGGACAACGTTCTTCGCTAACTTGTGCAGAGTGAAGAGATCTTTCAAACCATACCAGAATGAGCACAATTCAGTCAAGGACACCGGAGAAAGAAAATCATGAAAATCTTGTTCCATTACCCACCTACCTTTGCTTTCACCTAATCCTAAGATCCTAAAAGCTTTCCTAAAAACTCTTCCCACCAAAATGAAGCCTACTAAATGCCCAGCAAGAGAAAAAAAAAATGAGGCAAGAAAGGCGAAAAAACAAGGGAGGAGAGAAAGCGAAAAGTAAAAGTCAAGACTGCTGTGTCACTTTTAAACCCAAAAACGAAAATGTCGAAATTTTGCTTTCTGCGCATGCCCGAACTTCGCAAGCTGATATTTTGCATCTGGATCAGAAGGCCGCCAAGTGTACGACCTGTAAACCGCTTTGTGGTAAGTTTTAGCTCTTTATAGCACGACAGTGACCAGAAAACCACTCGACTAGCTTCAAAACGCGTTTTTCGGCAAAATCTCCAGGAGCGAATGGGTTAAACAAATACTGGCCGCTGACGCTTCCCTGAGTAGTACTGCGGTTGACATCCTTCCAATCACAAACAGTATTATGACACACCACTCTTTGTTTTCTGTCAGACAAGAAGCTGACGTACCAGTTGACAATGTATGGGTTTAAAGGGCTCTGTGTTAATGTCTCTATTAATAAGTTGTGCTTGACTCTGTCAAAGGCTTTTGAAAAATCCATCGTAAACAGCCTGACTGCTCGGTCATCGTTGCTATCTAAAGCTTGGAGAAATTCATGCTGTATTTTAAGAAGCGCGTTTGTACAACTGCCTATTGTTGTCTCTTAGCCAGGACAAGACGTGTCTCCAAAAAACAGAGGATATTTTGCAGGAAAAAGTAAATGCTCGATGGATTCGACCTCAGTTTGGCAGAAAACTCATTTATCTGATTCAGCCATACCAAAACGAAAAAGTTTCTCATTCGTAAATACGATACGGTTTAATATTTTGAATTGAAATTCCCAAAGTTTTGTCTCTAATGTTGTGCGGAAAGATAATAAGTAAACTCTTTTCCAGTCAATAGTTAAATGATGATACTTTGCAGATAGCTTCTCTTTCGCGGTAGGTGTGGTTTGTTTTTTGGCCAAAAAAGACCGATAGATGTGCTTTAAAGAAGCGTCAAGAATTGGAATGAAGATATCATTTATCAAAATAGCTGGTGTATTCGGCAGAGGAGAAAGCACTGGTGCAATATTAGCTGTTCGAATTAACAAACGCCATGCTGCTGGCATGGAATTAATAAATTACACTCATAATGAAAAAACTTTGTTCACGGTTAAGTTGTAGATTATCAACAGAAAATAAGTCCCAAATTTTACAAAAGCCTTGATCCGCAATATCTCCTCGGTTAACAGATTTATTATCAGCACAGAGAAACTTGTTGTTCCATATGACTTGATTTACAATTTCGTGTACTGAACTAGGTTCTCTTGCGTTTAATTCTGACCATGCAACAAGACATTGCCTATAGAAAGCTGGAAGAGAAATATTTAGTTTAGAAACCTCAAAATTACCTTGCAGTAAAAACTTCCCACCAATAGGTTTCAGAAGCTCTCCTAAAAACATTTTCCATGGACCTTCATAGTCCTCTAAAAATTTTTGTAAGCATATCACTCGCTTGGTGCGAATCATGGATTCAGTATCAAGCATGTTCAGGCCACCATTCTCAACTTCTGAAATAACTGCGTTGCGCTTTACTTTGTCCTTTCCGTTCCGATCCAGATAAAATGATAAAAGATCGATTCAGCTTCTTTCACGAGATCCTTAGAGATTGAAATAGCCGATGCTCTATATAAACATAAGCTTAGGGATGGCAAAGGTTTTAACAATTTGTATCCCGCCTATAAGAGATAGGCCTCGCCATTTCCATAAGTTAATCGTTTTCTTAATTGATTCCAGAGTCTTCCAAAAGTTCAGTTCTTCATTTTTTTAGCGTCACCACCAAATAAACACCTAGAATCTTGATCATGTCACAAAGATTATCCATGACCAAATTCCCTTCCCAGCGAGATCCACTATTTCCCAACGCTAATGCTTCGGTTATCCTTATTTACTTTTAACCCTGACAACGCTCCGAAAGCCCTCAGGGTTTCGAATAGGATTGAGTAAGACCTAATGTCTTTAATGAAGCAGGTCATATCCGCAAAAAGAGTGAGTCTAACAATTTTCTATTCTAATACCTTGAATAAAATTATCGTTTCTTATCGTTAATACTAAGATTTCCGAAGCTAACATGAAAAGATATGGAGAAAGAGGATCCCCCTGCCTTACCCTTCTACTTAGAGAGAAAGGTCCTGAAGTAAAGCCATTATTCATAACACAGCTGGAGGCCTTATTATACAAGACTCGTACCCACTTAATGAAAGAAGGACCAAAGTTAAGTGCGTGTAAGACTCTTAAAAGGAATTCAAAATTGAGGGAATCAAAAGCTTTCTCAAAATCTATGGCCACTAAGATCCCCGATATATCTCTGTTCATCGTATGCTCAATCGCATCGTCAGTTGTTCTGATGGCATCAAAAATAGTTCTCCCCTTGACAAAGGTGCTCTGATCAAAGTGAATTATTTCGTGTAGCACATTTTCCAACCGCTTGGCCAAGGTCTTGGACGCTATTTTTGCATCTACATTAATAAGAGATATTGGACGCCAATTCTTTATTTGCCTTTTGTCTTTTCCTCTTTTTTCAACTAAAGTTATAACAGCCTGTGTTTCTGTGAATTTGAAAGCTCTCCGTACTCAAAGGGATAATTTAGACTTTGCACCGACAAACTTCCAAACACGGGCCAAAAAGCAAGGTAAAATTCAACGGTTAAGACGTCGTTTCCGAGTGATTTATTCTTTTGGAAGGTCTGCAAAGCATTGTAACACTCTCTGTATCCCAATTTGCCTTCACAAACGTTTTTCTTCTCCTCTACTAAAGAGGGAATTTCATTGAGATTACTTAAAAATGAGGAAAAGACCCCATGTCTACACATGTACTACCATCATAAAGGTCAGCATAAAATACTTCTAACTCATTCATTATTTGTTTAGGGTCTGTAGTTAACTTTCCTTCCCTGTTAAAGACTTTCCGCACGGTGCTTTTCTTTTTATTGGCGTTTTCCGGATTCAAAAAATATTTGTTATTTCTCTCGCTGAATTCGTACCAAGTTGTCCGAGAACGAATGATCGCACGTTGTGTGATGTAATCATACATACTATCATATTCCGTCTGAAAACACTCGAGTTCCTCCAGATTTTTTGTATTTGGATCGGAATCGCATTTTTCCGCACATTCCTCCAAATCTTCCTCTAGGCTTTTTCGTTTCGCTCTTCTTTCGCGGGCTTTAGTTCTGCTGTATCTGATTGTTTGCTGTCTAATTTTGTATTTAATCAAATCCCATAAGACACGTTTATCTTGTACTTCTTTGAATTCCTTCAGCCAATTGGCATACTCAGTGGTTAGAAGTTCACAATAAGCAGAATCATTTACTAGGTTTGAATTAAATTTCCGGAAGTTAGGTCCTTTTTCAAGATCATCTAAGCCATTTATGGAGAGCGTTATTGCTGAATGGTCTGACTTAATTGACGATTTAATGTCCACTGAATTTATGTCATCTTGTAAACTATAGCTTACGAGCCAGTAATCTAAGCGCCTTTGTATGATCGGTTTCTTTTGACGCCAAGTAAAACGTGTAACTGTTGGGTTTCTTATGCGCCAGATATCCAGTAAATCAAGCTCAGCGGACATATCTTCAGCAATTTTTCCAGAGTCTCTCCTTTTACTATTCCCGCCCTGCCCATCTAAAACGTTGTCAAGAATGATATTTAAGTCCCCACCCACTATAAATGGTTGATCTTGTTCCACTCTCGCACCTTTTAGAATATCCGATGCGTCTTTGAAGAAGAGAAATTGTTCACTACACTTATTTGGAGCGTAAAAGTTAAAAGAAAGTAAGGCGAATCCTGAATATAAGCCTCCAGAAAAATGCAGCGACCTTGAGAATCTTCCTCGGTAGAATGTATTTTGAAATCTAAATTATCCTTTACCAGTACTAGAACACCTCTGCTATGATTGCTGCCATGCGAGAAGAACATTTTACCTTTCCATTGTTTTCTCCAGATATTTTCAATGTCTCGAGTGCTGTATGTTTCTTGCAGGAAAATGATGTCGGCATCGGAATTTACAAGCCAACTAAAAACAGCTTTCCGCTTTTCAGAAAGTGCGAATCCCACGAACATTTAACGACAAAAGATTGAACTCGTTATTACGCCCCATATTGCCAGAATAAGTAGGACCTAATTTGGTGGGAAAAATTCATCAACACATTTACAGCAATCTGACACTCAAAGAAATTCTTCATTGACATGCTGCGATAGCTTTGAATAACAGAAAATGAAAGGAAAATAACCACGAAAACGAAAACAAAAACAATAGAGTACAACCACTTAATACTGATACAAACAATTAAAAGAGCAGCAAGATAACTATCTCGAATGCTGCGCTCTGGAATGGAACTAAGTAAAGTTGTTTGAGAATGCATGTTTGTGTACGACAGCAAAAGCCTAGTTGAGCTTTAGAGACAGTGATTCGGAAATAAAGTTTTAAAGTGAATGTACTTAACGCCTACAACAGATTACGAGGAAATTATATGCAAATACATGACTATTTGAGAGCAGAGTGAAAGAAAAGCTCCGATGAGAGTATTATATTTACATATACATTTTTATCTCTGGAAATGTGTAGAGAGCAGTGCTCGTACCTAAACAAAATCTGTCAATGGAGCATGATTTGCAGGGATAAATTTACCATTAACAAATAACTTATCTGGTTGCACTTTGCTGAAATATACTGTACAGCCTTTGCCTCTGGCTTCCTTGAACTTTTTCATCTGACTTTTCCTTATTTCATAAAGTTCTTTTGGTACATCGTCAAACACCGAGAATTATTTGTCCTCTTGCCTCTTTAACTCCTTGCGGGCTTCATCCATCACCATTTCCTTGTCCGAATATCGTAAGAAACGTGCGATAATTGGGCGAGGTTTGTCACCTCTGTTGTTAGGCTTTCCCAATCGATGGACTCTTTAGAACTCGATTCTACCACGAGGGTTTTCAACACGAAGCTTGTTTTCCAGGAATTTGAACACTAAATCTCTCGTATCCTCGGGTGGGGAGTCAACTTCAGAAGCTGGCGTTACTTCGTCAATCCCAAAGAATTTAACATTTTCTCTTCTTGAATAGGTTTCTAAATACAATAACTGCTTGCGAAGATCATTTATTTCAAACTTTGACTCCTTTGACTCTTTCTTTAGGTCCGAAATGTCGTCTTCGTTGAACTGGATACTTTCTTCCAATTCGGACGCTTTCTTTTCCACTCTGTTTGTTTTTTGCTTCGGGTCTTGTACATCTTCATCTAAACGAGATACATTCTCCTCAATACTATCAAGACCGGCAGAGACCTCGCTAAGATGCGCTTCTATCTTATCGAGTTTTTCTAATTCATCCAGTACATGCTGCAGTTTCAGACCGACGTCCTCCACCATCCCCAGCGCTTCAAACACTTCGTCCGTTTCACTATTGTTGCTTCTTTTCTCTTCAGGTGACTGATTAGAAGATTGAGATGCTGCACTAGATCTGCCTTTCCTTTTGGAAGACATTATAGGCGTATAAAGATGAAAAAATTGCAATCACTGCCTCCTGCTCAACATTACGCGACCTATTCGTTCGCCATGCTAACCCCAGATTTTGGCTTTGTTTTTAAGCTCCCCTAAGGAACAGGCACCCAAATTGAAATCTCATTTCCTCTGAATCATGTATTTGATAAATCAGCTTAAAATCACTGACAATGAAATTATATCAGTTTCAGTTTTTTTCTTTTCTTTCCTTTCTTTTCAATCGAATTTTACGCCTGTGACTGCATTAGAATGTTGTGAGAACAACGGTATGGTCAAACACTAATAAACAGCGTTTTTGCATTCCCAATGTTTTTTTTTTTTTGAAGCTAGGAAATCTACGATATGCGTCCATTTAACCCTACACCTCTAGTGCCCGCATAGGACAACCATTCTCGTAAGCGGCCTACGCTTTCCTAGGTAGTAGATATCCGCTTACAAGAGCCGTTCCATTGTACTTCTGGGTCCTTTTTGCCACGTTACCCGAATTGTAATGCTGTTTACTAACTTGAACAATTTAAAATATCGATAGGGAAAATACCACGCTGTTGAAACAGAACAAAATGGCTGAAGACAAAGCAAAAGGTAGTCCAGACGAAGCTGGGGGCAATGACAGCAAGGTATTTAGTTTGTTTTGTTTGAAAAGCATTTTGATTTGATTAGGCGATGGATTCATACTAATGACCCCTAATACTGAATGGGTACCTTCCCTAATGTCCTTCCAGCGATTACTGTAGCTTATTTATGGACAAAGTTGTTTTTTACTGAATATCGTACAAAAGGAATTAAACTACTATTTTCAGAAATAATTTTATCTCATTCTTTAAGTTGTGTATCAATAACAACAGCTAACAGCTGAAGAGGTACAATGGGATCAGGATTTCATTGGTATCGATTGGAAATAATGTATGAGAAATAAACTCCCTCAATCCTTACAGATTTCTTTCTAGTAGTACCACTTGCAGAAAAGAAAAAGAGTTCCCTTTCCTGATCAATAAAAAAAAAATCCTGGCAAAACCGAAACTTCAACTCAGTCAGTTAAAGAAACTGACTACATGTATATATCCTGTTGCCTATAACAGGACAGGAAAGGTTCCATGTTACCCTTTCTGTCAACATTTCTAAAAAGTTATATTTAGGTACTGAATCGTTTGTTCTCTGTTAGTGTTCCATTAAAGCAGATACTGCATATAAAAAATGTTTATACCTTTTGCGAGTTTATTAATTTTATCCATCAGACTTATCCATCAGATAGTAAGAAACGACAACAAATAACATAAAATATAAATAATCGCCAGAAAAAGTCATGAAAAGCCGACCATTTTGATGCCCAGTATCAACATAAAATTGAGAGGGAAGGCTAAATAAGCGTAAGCACCTTTTAAAAATTCAGTCAGACAGAGTTATTTGACTTTTTAATGGAAGCCATTTGAGCACTAAAAGTACAAAACTGGAGTCTTTCTTCAAGCACAGAATCAATCGCGATATCAAGGGAAAAAAAAGAAAAAAAGAGAAAGCGAGGAGAAGAAAGAAGGAAAAGATAAAAAAAGGAATCTCTGCAGTCTTGGTTTTTACATAGTTTTTGACTGTATTCAAGATTTTAAACGTTTAAAACAGGTTTCCTGTCCAAAGAGATTTCTTTGCTATTTTGAGGAGATTTGCGAACGCGATGCCCGAGAACCCTCTTCACGCTAGCTAACCTGCAGTGCAGGCGTATTTGGGGTGGGCGAAACCTTGTTCGTGTTCGTATTGTTGTAGCCGCCATCTTTGATTTTATGACAGTGTAAGATTGGGGAGAGTAAAAATAGTAACCCTAAGGGTAGGTGCGAGGGCGAAAGAAGGAAAGGGGGAGGGGAGGAAAAAATACGCCTGTCCGTTATTATTGTTCTTTTGGCAAACTCCGCACGCTGGCAAACGGAGCTCCTGATTGGTGCGGCATAGGGAAGTAGATTGATGCCTGTCAATATATTGTCTATATTGCAACTGAGGGAAAGAATTATTCCGAATTCAGAAATGGCGGACGTAAATTGGAATTTTAACTCGCGCTGTCGAAGGAAGTCTTTTGGAATTGGAGCAGCTGGGAATGTCGCGTGTATTACGCAATGAGAAAGTCAAAGCGATTTCTACACTGGTCATCAGGACAAGATTTGCTCGCAGTACTAAAACCTACACCACTTTTATCTCATGCCAAAATGCTGCCTGGTCCAATACGTTTTTTTTTTTTTTTCTGGCGAGTAGATTATGCTCTAGAGGGTTCTATGCTTTGACTGAGTAAATGTGATTTTAGTAGCCTGCAAAAACATCCGTTTCTCCTCGCTCTTCGCTGCTGGGGACGTTTCGCGCGGAGGAACGTCTGCGACTCAGCGACAGAAATTCCATACTGATGACGTAAAATCTGTCCGGAATCCGGTCAGAAGCGCTGATTGGTCGACGGAGTAGTTACATTGTTTTAGCTACTGTTTTACGAATGACAGTCTTGACAGACAAAACAGAAAAGGCCACATAGGTCAAATGCAAATGTGAAGAATCTCTAACAAAACAGTCAATATTTGTAGAATGTAGTCTTCTCCAGAAGAAGTATTTGAGTTTTGCTGGAGCTCTTTGGCAGATGAACACAACACTTTAACAAAATCGACCAGAAGACACATAAAATTGGACAAATTTATATCTGGAACCCCATGAGTACCGAATTTATTATGTAAACATTGATTTGCGTCATCAGTATGGAATTTCTGCCCCTGAGTCGCAGACGTTCCTCCGCGCGAAACGTCCCCACCGGTGTGCGCACTACGATCGCTAAGCATCATGGGTGATATTCAACATCTGATCATTTGTGTCAAGATGGCGTAGAGTGAACATCTCGACTGCGGAGTGAATATTCGTTAATTTCTCTTCCGGAAGAAAGTCTGTCTAATTCTCAGGGGAAAAACAGTCTCATTCCGTGGTTAAGTGTATTCTGGTGTATTTTGTTTGTAATCACTTGTATCCTGTTTACAACTGACCGAGAAAAGTCGGCACAGAAACGCTTTGTTCAATGCTTTAATCATGAAAAGCACTGGAGGTAAGACCCGCGGTTCGCCGAAAATTTTGAATTCACCGTGAAATCAGTGCAACTAGTGCTAAGAGGTACTGATATGTAGCTGTGATTATACTCATAAAATACTAGGAGCTTCTTCAGAATACCCGGCTACGGTATTTCAACACAGTGAGCTTATTTTGTTTTGTCATTCAGCATTGCAAAATGTTCACTTGCTAGCTGTAATAAGAGAAACGAAGTTGAAGGGGTCATCTTTTCAAGGACTTGCTTCTCTGTTGGCACCAAGTCTGCATTTCGTTTTGCTTAACATCTGTATTTATCATCACATGAAGACAAGTAAATAAAGTAGAGGTTATTTGTGTACAATGAACTTGTGTCCTCTTTATAGATAATATAATATTGAGCATCTTTATTTGCCCATATATTTTCTATTGGTATGAGTCATAGAATGTCTTATAACTGGATTGAAACTGAAAATGGCATATTTGTGATTACAAAGCCTGATGCACTCAATAGATTTTAAAAGCTTCAGCCACTATTTGTTTAATGATTGTGTCAGTATGTACAAACACATGTTATCACATACTTTTTTGGATTATAAAAACTCTTCAAAATGTGAAATTTATACATGTTTACGAATCTCCTGTAATCAGGGCTGGGGCAACGTAGAGAGACCCCTACCCTTTCTCCTCACCCCAATTTTATAATTTAAATATGATATCATAGGTCTCATCATACTCACAGTCAACTCTGTTATACAGACACTGAGCGGACCGTAGAAATTATCCATCTTAATTTAGAGAAAATTTAAGGGTTTTTTTCCAGGGAACAAAGCAAGCTGTCTGTAATGATAAGCAAGGCAGTGCTCTAAGGAACTTTGAAAGGAGCCCAGTTCTCTAAACCTGTAAAATCCAGGCTGCCCAGCATATGATTTGTATGAAAAGTCTGAGATTTTCTAGTCACCGAAAAGCAAAAGTTAGGTGCCAGGGGCCGCAGGGCTCTGCTAGAGCACGGCCTTGATCAGGTGTCTGTATGAAGCGGTTGTCCTTAAAGAGGGCTTTTGGGTCACCCGTTATTGCAGAGGTGGATCCTAGTAGTACAGTAAAACCCCCTGACTTAGAACCTGAATGTTAAGAACCTGTTAGGCTAAAATATGCCAGATGAGCCCCCTCTATATAAAAACCTGTTTAGCCTAAAATTTGAAACAGGTTCTTATTTTTGAAATCTATGAAAAAATTCTGTACACTTGAGCAGAGATAAATCAACATTTACAGTCTTCTTTAGAGACAAAGCAGTCTTATCACTCCAACTGCAATGTAAATGCCAATGTTTAAATTTAAATACATTCCTCTTTTTATGTCCATTCTCACATAACTTCTAATTTGGTATGCAGACTTTACATGAGGAATGAGGTGAAACACAAATACTCTTAGCTACATTTTTTCTTCAGAAAATAATAACCCATTTAAAAACCTAAATAGCTTAAACTTGTGCCAACTGCTGTTTATATAAGAATCTGTTTAGGCTTACTTAGTTAATTCAGGTTCTTAGTCGCATGATCTTACTACCCCATTGTTCCACTTTTTTTATTTCCTTTACCTGTCACCATTTTTTCAGCCTTGGTTTTCCAAATCAAAAGTACATTCAATGATCAAGCAATTTATATTTTAACTAAAGCCACCAAAATATGCAAACTCCTTGATATATATTAAACAGTGTAAACGGGTAAACGGATTGAATGACATCACTTAGCCTGTGTGGCCGGCATTTCAAAGAAAAGGGAAAGTGGGTCTTGGTGCAAGAGAAATGTGAGGGAAGGAGGGAGGGAAATGACTGCCATACAGGAGACTAATTGTTTTTTCCATTATAAACATCAACCAGGTGAATGTTGAAATCACTCCCTCCTTCCTCGTGCACTCTTCGCATTTCTCTTGTGCCCAAAACCCCTTTCCCTTTCCTTTTAAATGCCTGCTATGGAGGCTAATCACCAATGAATAAAACAGGGACTAGGCAAGAAACTGACAAAGTCATAAAATCCAAACAACAACACACACCAATCTTGGAAGTAGATTATGATTTTCTTTTCTCAAGAGTGATGTGCATATTTCTCTGAGTAAAAGTAAAGTGCAAGCTTGGTGGATGTTATGAAACTCTTCTTCTACACTGCACTATTCTTGCAATTCTCCCAAAAACCATTTTTCATAAAGGATGGCTGGTTTCAAAATGCACAGGGCTTAACTGTATAATCAAACTTATCATTTTAATTTAATACCTATAATTCTTATCCTACTGATTTTATACCTGCATAAAGGGAATCACATGTATGACTGCAATTTTATTATGCTTTTTTTAGTCCTATTACAAAACAGACATTCCTACATCAGAGTACTCATCAGCCTATTTATATACCAATTTCGAACATTTTATGCTCACCTAATGCTATTGTTTGGAGGAACCAGTCGCTGCTGCCCCGCTATTTTGTGATCAGCTTGTGATTACAACAGTATAACGTAACACTTCCAGCAACATGTCACATTGGTCTTCGCGAGGCTACATTTTCCCATGAAAACATGCCGGTTTCAATCCGGAAAAAGTATCACAAAACGTGGGGCGCTTGGGGAGCGACAAAAAATTAGCGTAGAACAAGGTTTGTAGAAACACTTACAACTATCTTCTACTTTCGACGGGCAATATAATGGAAATTATAGCTTCTTAAAAACCGGGTTCAAATTTCATGCTCTTACAGGAGGAATCTTCGGGCTCCACGTTTTAGATTGAAATGAAGAATATTGACTTGTTTTTCTTCACAGAAAAAATCTAAACAAATATTAGTTTATGAAATCGAGAAAAACGATCTAAGGAAAGAACTGTATCTATTGAAAAATAAAGCATATAACCTGCGAAATTTCGCGACCTTCGCCATCATCTTGAAAATTTTGAATCCACAATGCATCGCAGTCGTAGTGCGCACACCGCCTGCCTTTTCACAGTGTTTTCGGGCAGGCGTTTTCTCTTCTCTCTCCCCGCCCTTTCCCCGCTCCCTTTGACTCGCCCCATTTCCTCCTCTCTTCGGTTTCAACATGGCGCTTTCGCGAGCAAAAACATTTGCGCCCCGAAGAAAACGCCTGCACTACAGGCTACACGCTAGCGGTTAATAAAACTTGCGCGATTTATATTTTCTTATGCGCGCTTGACGATCTTTGAAAATAAAACAACAGGTTTGTCAACAGGCTAGAAAAAATAATAAAAGATGAGCAACAAGGAATTAACGGCCGTAAGTCTAATAACTTTTTGAAGAAAATTTAGCTAGAGAATAGCATTAATAGAAATTTCGAATGTAAAGTCATATTCAGTGCAGCTTGGAAGGAATAAAGACTGGAAGCTTGTATGAGGGTGTGAATGGGGTTAACCGACTAGCGACAAAGGGCGAAAAATATTACTGACTACCGACAAAATGAGTAAAAAATTACCGACTACCGACAGGAAAAATATTAACCGACTACCGACATGGGCTGATATTATCAATATTTGTTTCCAGAAAAAAGAGCATTTTGTATTTAATCTAACCGTTAGCTCGAGGAAGTAAGTAACCTCTTTAAATTTATGACTCATCAGATGGCCTAAGGGAAAGAATTTCCTTTTTTTGTTGTTGATACAGGTACATTGCTACAGCCAATATCAAAATCACATAGTCACACCTTAAAGATGCTACCGACTTTATAAATTTTATTGAAAAGTCAAAGGTGAAAAAACCGAACGTTTTTTGCTTAGATTAATCCTCACAGAAAATTCTTTCCCGTTTAATGTAAAGAACTATCAGTACAAACCCACGTTACCGCGATGAGCACAAAGACAGCAGTTTCCTTTCCAACATTTTCATGGCACATATTGAAACACAAAGTTTAAGCAAAACCGTCTTTAAACCAGCTGTTTGAAAACGCTACATAAATGACATTTTTTCCCTATGGGACAGACATCGTAGCTTTCTTTGCGGAACAAGTAAACTTACATGCCCTCCTATGAAATTCACGGCCGAAAGATCTGAAAATGAGACATTCTTTTTAGAAACGGTTGTATACCAAGGTACAACATTCAGCGAAAAAATGAGAAAAAGCTATCCTTGACGTAAAGACGCATTTGAAACGGAAACCTTACAGTATATACATTTTCACCTCTTATCACCCACCAATTGTTAAAGCGCCTGTTTGACAAACGAGAAGCCTTGAGAATCCTACGAACAAACTCCTCTGAGGAAGTATTTCAGATTTCAAAAGCGCTTGATGGATAGAGGCTAGCCAGACAATTTTAAAAGAAAAATTGCTATTAGAAGTAAAACTCACAGAATGGAAGGCAGCGCTCCTGAAAAAAAACAACCAGGAAGAAAAAGACTGAAATATTGCCTTTCGTGACACAATACCAGCCCTTAGTGTCTATAAAAAAGAAGCTTTAATGAAAAAGTGGAATCTCATGCAAAACCAGCCACTACCTTGCCAAAATTTTAAAGAACCACCTAAAGTGCTATTTCTTTGAGAAAGGAAAATTATGGCAAAGGACATGCTTGTTAGAACCAAAACATGAGAGGGATAGATGTGCAGCCTGTCATCCCTTGCAGTTTTTCAATGAAAATAATTTAAGTATCCAAAAGGCTAGAGTCCAGGAAGTAATTAATTAATTGCTTTTTACTGTGCCCTGTAGTCGACAGGGAAACCAAGTTCGCATTTACAATAAAAGCTTGGGTGATTTTATCAGTACTAATTATTCATTTAATGGCAAACAATGATGAAATAAACGTTCATGTTACATAAAAAACAAGAGTTAATGAACGGTTTAGGTGCAATCAAATGATGCATTCTTGCAAGTTTTATTCTTCCCTTAGGAATCAAAGTCTTGAAAAGTGGGTGAAATACATAAAAAATATAAATAATTAACAAACGTTTTACTTATTAACTGAGATTTTCCGACAACCGGAAAATCGAAAAGTTTAACCGACTACCGACAAAGATCGAAAATTTTAACCGACTACCGACAAAATTACTGAATTTTAACCGACAACCGACAAGTGGATCCCCCCATTCAGACCCTATTGTATAAACCAGACGGCATAGAGTTTCAATCGAAAATGAAACGATGAAAAAAAAAGAAGTATTTAAAATTAAAATAATTGAAATGTGCTACTCTGGGCATGGATTTATTCTCGCGATTAACTCTATAATGCCGCTAAAGTAGATCATCAACGAACTTCCTGTAGCTAATATCCCAATATGCAAAGACAATTGTATACATTTGTACCTGGCTAAGGTGTTTCCTGCTCAGTTCAAAACTATCCCACGTTAAGCGAATTGTCAAAGTATCAGAGCCACAACTCAGACGTGTGGCTCTTTTCTGTATCGCCTCTATTGTAGCTTTAACATACTTGATGAGGTATGGGTTTTAAATTAGACAGGCCTACTGCTGACTAAATCTAAGTGTTAGTGCGACTTTTTAACCTAAATTATGTCCCGCAGGAGTGACCAACATTGATTTTCTCAAATCAATCTTAACTTAATCTTTAATAAAGTAGAAAACTTAAGTGAATTAAGAACAAGATAAGAAAAAGGAAAATGCATGATCTTTCCATACATTTTCGCATTTAAATTTCAAGGAAGATCAGTCTGAAGAATTTGTATGTGGACATTGAGACTTAAAAGGTTAAAGAAGATTTTTACGGATAGGCGTAGTATTTCACATTAGCTCAGTAGAAATCAGCCTAATATCAAACGTTGGTACAATTAATAATTTTCTTCTGTTTCTAGTCTTTCAGGAAAACTGAAGGTAAACATGGACTAAACAACAAAACTTCCAGTTATAACCTCGGAATTGCAGCTTACAAACGCTGTGATTTCACAAGTGCCCGCAATTACTTCGAGTCAGAATTAAATGAAGCCAAACAGGCAGGGAACATGGATAGAGAAAGCATAGCATATACCAACCTTGGCAATGCATATCACCATCTCGCTGATTACAAAAAAGCGATCGCAGTTTATCAGCAGTCTCTTAGTATCGCAAAAGAGACTGGAAACAAAGGTCCAGAAGGTAAAGCATATGCCGGCCTTGGCTGTGCGTATAGGTCTCTCGGTGATTATAAAAAAGCAATCGAATTTCATCAGCAGTCTCTTAGTATCGCAAGAGACATTGGAAACAAAGGTTCAGAAGGGGGAGCATATGGCAACCTTGGCAGTGCGTATTACTCTCTCAGTGATTATAAAAAAGCAATCGAATTTTATCAGCAGTTTCGTACTATCGCAAAAGAGATTGGAGACAAAGGCTCAGAAGGTAAAGCATATACCGGCCTTGGCATTGCGTATGACTCTCTCGGTGATTATAAAAAAGCAATCGAATTTCATCAGCAGTCTCTTAGTATCGCAAAAGAGATTGGAGACAAAGGTTCAGAAGGGGCAGCATATACCAACCTTGGCCATGCGTATTACTCTCTCGTTGATTATAAAAAAGCAATCGAATTTCATCAGCAGTCTCTTAGTATCGCAAAAGAGATTGGGAAAAAAGGTTCAGAAGGTAAAACATATACGAACCTTGGCAGTGCGTATCGCTGTCTCGGTGATTATAAAAAAGCAATCGAATTCCATCAGCAGTCTCTTAGTATCGCAAAAGAGATTGGGGACAAAGGTTTAGAAGGTGCGTCATATACCAACCTTGGCATTGCGTATGACTGTCTCGATGATTATAAAAAAGCAATCGAATTTCATCAGCAGTCTCTAAGTATCGCAAAAGAGATTGGAGACAAATATGTTGAACAAAAGACGTACAACAGTCTTGGTTGTAGTTTTCAACAGCTTCATGATTTCCGTAAGGCTGAAAAGTGTTATGAATCCAGTATAAAAGTGTTTGAGGAATTGAGGTTCCTTCTTCAGGAGAAAGACGAATGGAAAATCAGCTTTCGTGATAAGTTAGAAACGTACAGTTACTTGTGGATTGTTCAGCTACTACAAAGCAAGACCAAAGAGGCGCTTTTAACAGCTGAGCGAGGACGAGCGCAAGCTCTCACAGATCTCATGGAATCACAGTATGGCGCAAAATCAACTCCATCACCATCAAAAGAGCAGATGAAAAAAATAACTAACATTTCAAACCTTATTTCATCGCCTACGACATTTCTTGTCGAAGCCTTCGAATCACTGCACTTCTGGGTACTGCATAAAGGACAAGAGTGGCAGTATATGTACAAAGAACTCAGTTATACCTTGAAAGATATGACTGACAAAGCATACAACCAAATTCTTGGTACTAAACCTGCCAGGTGCGAAGATCGCTCTCTTGATGATCCAGAAGACGAAACAGTTGAAGAGTTATCTGACAGGGGAAGAGATGAGAGAGAATTAACATCGTTACAAGGCGACGAGGACCCTTTAAAAGAACTGTATGACGTGGTTATCGCTCCGATTTCTCACTTGATAAGAGATGAGGAACTTATCATTGTTCCTGATGGTTCATCATTCTTGATTCCTTATGCAGCCCTCGTGGGCCAAACTTCAAGGTATTTGTCTGAAACGCCGAGAATTCGATTGGCTCCATCACTAACAAGCTTAAGGCTGCTCACAGAGTGTCCGGAGGGGCGCCATAGTACATCTGGTGCACTGCTTGTTGGTGACCCGTGGATTAAAACTGTACGCTTCAAAGGAAACAAATTTTCGCAGCTCCCTGGTGCTGAAGAGGAGGTAAAAATGATTGGACAGATATTAAACGTTGAGCCTCTCACTGGAAAGAACGCTACAAAAGATCAAGTGTTAAGTAGGCTAAACTCGGTTTCTTTAGTTCACATTGCAGCTCATGGTTCTGCAGAAAGGGGTGAAATATTGTTATCTCCTAATCTTGGCAAATCCGAACCGCCTGATGAGAAAGACTTTCTTTTGACGATGGCAGATGTGTTGAAGGCAGAACTGGACGCCAAGCTTGTTGTCTTGAGCTGCTGTCACAGCGGGCGAGGGAAAATCAAGGCCGAGGGCGTGGTTGGTATTGCACGTGCCTTTTTAGGAGCAGGTGCGCGCTCTGTTATTGCGTCACTTTGGGCGATTGACGACGACGCTACTCTAGTTTTTATGAGACACTTTTACGAACATTTGGTGAAGGGAAAAAGTGCAGGCAATTCGCTACATCAGGCCATGAAATGGATGCGAGAGTCAGACGACTTCAATGCTGTGATGGACTGGGCTCCATTTGTGCTGATTGGTGATGACGTAACATTGAATTTTGGCCAATAAAGGTGAGTTATCTTATGTAGCAGCTGAAAAACCAAGTCTCTGAGGTGATGATAAATTATAAAGATAAAGGGTTATTTTGGATAAGGAAAAATGAAAGTGGATTTCAAACAATAAACTTAAAAACTTTCTTGCTCTAATAACAGAGGTTGCATCAGGTTTATTAGCTTTATTTTTGTTATTTCATCTTTTTAGCTAATGATGTATGGTTTACAGGTGAATACGCTTGCATACTCAACGAGTATTGAAACGTTTTTTTATCACATGGCTCTTCTTTCGCCCTTACTGGTATTGTACGAAGGAGAAAATTTCTTCTTGGTCACTCTTGTGATCTACTTTTAACCTTAAAGTCACGTGGAAAACCTTTCTTGCCAAAATGAGTTTTATTTGCTTGAAAATAATATATAGATTTAGCCAGGGCTAAAAGCGAATCTCCCATTAATAAATTTATAATTTCAATCAAACAATAAACTTTTAACCCACAAATAAGTTAACTTAAGGGCTTAATGATATGGCTCTTGATCACTGTAGATTAGGTCTCGAAAACAAATTCTTGAAAAACAAATCAGGCCGAATTTTTTTGCTTTCGACAGGTTTACTTTTCAAATTCTTGCCACCAAATCTGGGGGTGTATAAACCAACCTTTTATACTTTTTAGACATCACATCTGAGGTAAAACAGCACTATTTATCATACAGACCTCGGACAGAATGCGGTATTTCACAATTTTCAAGACAAATTGCACTCTTTTAATAGTCAGGACGATCAATCGTGGGCTTTTAGCGAACCCGTTCAAAAAATTTCCAAAATCACCCATACGGCCAACCGGTTCTCATTTCTAGTGCTAGCGGCCAGTGTGGTTGAGTGTTGAATGAACTTTAATAGAGTTACGCTTCAACATAATAACGAATTTATTATTATTATTATTTGTTATTTAATGGCTTCAGTTATAACGATGTGTAATCTTATACAGCGTTTGAAACGCGCGACATTTTTGAGTACTCCTGCAAGCGATGTTCATGAACGATGAAAACCCATCGGCAATTAAAATTGCAAGAGAGACTACTAACAATTAATAAAAGAAATATAATTCGGTGAAACATATACAGAGACAACAATTTTCATTCACGAAGACGAGTATTAAAGTGTCTCTTAAAATCCTGAGTTAATTATGTTTTAATTTAATCCGGCCTCCCGGTGTTTGCTTTTTTCAAAGATAACTCCTCGAAGCAAGAAAATCGCTCAAAGTTTTCTTTCTACAGCCAGATTTGTAACTTAATATTCTTTGGAACGTTTTCTTTCTACTTGCGGTGAGAAAATATATCTGAAGGCCTTTCCAAGTTCTGTAAGCTTATATCAAACCCGATACTTACCCGATACTAGGTCAGATCATTGACTCAAATCTTACAAACGTTTATAAACTTGCCGCATAAACTGTGCTCGACTTCATGAAATTACTCAAGCTTACCATTCGAGATTCAGTTCCTAAAAACCGGCAAGGAGGGCACACTTACATGAGACTTTTAAACCCTCTTACGCATTAAGCAAGGTGAAAAACGAAAACAATGTCATCCGAAATCGGATTACCGAATTTTGACAAGCGGCGCATTTCTTAACCAAAAACCCAATAAACAAACCAGCCATGAATAACAGAAGACTCTTGATAGCAGCTGTATTTCATTTTGTACATCCAGTGGAAAAAGACAGTTAAAAACATCACAAGTTTACACAAAACTCTGTCAGCTTCAGCTGTCGAAGTAAACAACTTTCAAGATGCTGCATAAATTCTGCATAGACTCACCTGTCAAATTTTGACCAATCAGAGCATAAACATTGCACTTAGAGCGTGACCAACGCAAGACCATGGTAAGACAAGACACTGTGGGAGCGTATATTTGGGCGTGGTTGTACTACGCGTATGAGAAGTTTGTTATGTGTATGAGGGATATGTGGGTAGTCCAGTGGTATTGCATATTTGAGGGTTAGTTGAGATGTGTGAATTACTAGGCATGGAGTTATATTGGGAGTTGATTGCTAAGATGGTGGGTTAGTTTGTGAGGTAGTTGCTGGGTTTCTACATGGGGTTGTTTATTGGATGTTGGTAATAGAGGCTCGAAGAGCGAAATATATTTCGAAGATTTTAAAACTTCTAGAACATCTTTATTTTTATATTTCACATTTCCTATACGGCCGTCGAATGTGGTAAAGACGTGATGTCTTATTTTTCAAGTAATTCAAGGTAATAGAGTCAAACTCTGTTAATAGTGGCACTGAGGTGTTGATAGACATGTTTTACAAACCTACTGTTTTCCATCGAATAAAGACTGCACGCCAAAAAATTTTGACAGGAATATTCTCTTTTGCCAAAAATGTGGAAGATCAACTGGCATTATAAGGCTTTTCACACCCATCACATTGTACAGTGTATTCCCATTACTAGCAAGGGCAGATAAAGTTCCTGAAGTCCGGTGTCCACATGGATTAATAACAGAGTAACACATTGCATAAACTGCTATACTACAGCACTGTTTACAACAACATTGGTATAAACTACTAACATTTGATATACGACAGTATTCAACACTGTTTGAACAAAGATCAACTTCAATGTTCGCAATATGTACACCTTTAAGCTCATATATATCCTCATTCCTACATGTATAGAGACTCTGAAAATATTGTACTAATTTATGCATGGATGGTATTTCCAACAATACACATATACCTTGACTATGACTGTTACCATGCATATCTCTGGCATGAGAATCAACACCAATAATTCCCACAGTTAAAATGAATGAGTTGTGGTTCAGAGCCAAGAGTGTTTCAAGTGGCATACAGAAGTGACACCCCTCAACTCTGGCATCACCATACATGTTACAATTATAACTTTCACTGTATTCAAGCTGGAAATATCGCTCAAACACTGTAACCATTTCTAGCAATTCTGAAAGTGAAGAATGATCATCGCAGTAAATTTTCCAATTTAAGCAATTGGAAAGAAGAAGGCTTCAACAGGATTCGAACCCGTGACCTCCGCGTTACCGGTGCGTTGCTCTACCAACTGAGCTATGAAGCCACATATTGGGAGCGAGGTCAATTTATTGAGTTTTTATTTTTTTCAGGCTTCTTCTTTCCAATTGCTTAAATTGGAAAATTTACTGCGATGATCATTCTTCACTTTCATCTACAACCGCAGTTCAAAAATGAATTATTTCATATATACTTCACATAATTTCTAGCAATTCTGTTAACATTAACATAGATTGTCTTGCAAGCAATGACAGACTAAAATATAATTGGCTACCAATAGTCATTATTTGAATCATATCCTCGACTGAAGTAATCCTTCTTATCTGACTGTAAATTAAAGCGCACAAACTGATTGCAACAAATTGTTCTTCTTTCATGAATTTTAGACGACAACGGTGTATTTTTCAGAATTCTTGTCCATACAAAGAGTCTCACTTTCCGTGTTTTCTTGAACAAAGATTTTAATTTCTTCATCGATGGTCTGCTAGGTGCGCGACCGCGTCGAGAAAAATGACTAACCTTATTTAAACCAACTGGATTGTAAGTTCTGTTATAAATAAATTTCCCACGACGAGATCTCAATTCAACTTCTTTTATTTCCTCCACAAAACAATTTTCCTTCTGTACAATTGACTCATTACCTTTTCTTGTCGTCACCTCACCGACATCAAAACACCCTTAACACAAAACTTGCTGATAATGCGAAATCCCGACCCCGAGCATCGTACATGTACTGCGTCACAATATACACAACCACTTGAAAAACACGACGCGCAATACAAAAACAAGTACATAAACAGTCACTCTGCTACACAAGATTGAAAGAATAAGAAGAATTGTTACCACTATCACAGTAGTTCCCAAAGAAGCCTGAGTCCCTTTTTGTTTCAATTGTTGACAATCTTCTCTTCCTTCATCGGAAGAGATTTTTATCACAGGCAAGTCCTTGTGTTCCGCATTGTGAAAATCAAAATCACTTTAGTCAAACTTGATGCACATTCTTCTGTTCAAACTCTTATCGATTTTACACGTACACTCCTGGCATTCCGATTTGTCATTGCGTCTATAAGGTCCATCGTCCTTGAATGTCTTGACAATTTCCTTTGTTTTTCTCTGAGTTCGCGGACCAGCCCATTATGAAAACACTCAGTGTTATTTTTATAGTGTGGGCCTACCGTGAACAGTGTGTGCCTTTGTAAGTTTAACCCTCGATAACATACTTCAACAATACGTTCCTCGAAACACCGTCGCTGCTTGTTCCTGCTGCTTTGAAAAATTTTGGATCAAATAATATCATTGGATTACTACCATCCTTGAAGCGCGACGAATTCTGCGCGTAGTTTCACATTTCAACCTGTCAGTTTTGGCCAATGAAACGTCGTCGGTTAGTCTCTGTCGTGAAATTGACAACGTTTTCGGCACCGTACGATCATGTTTTGATCACGTGCTGTCCAAGTTTTCAGGTTTTTCTTGGGAGCGTATTCTATTTTTAAAGTCTGCATGAGTCAATATGGTGATGCAAATTCAAGTTCAAATTGGAGATACTAGATGAGTTTTTTTTGTGTGAATCCGCCTGGGAGTGTTGAGGATTTTAAAAAAAAACTACATTTTGCGTGAGATTCCGAAGACACGTTTTATGGATTTTGGTTTACTTTACGAAAACGAGAAAGGAGAATATGTAGTGTTGAATGACGTTCGCATGGCAGACATTCGCCTCGCTTCGCTGGTTTACTTGTTTGTTCACGTTAGCGTTAGGTCTTCCCTGCCTTTATTTTTAAAAAACTGGCTGAATTTTCGCGTCCGAGGTCAGTTTGAAATCAAAATCTTAATAATGCAGGGCCATAGTGATATAAACTTAACATATTTCATATGAATCATTGGAAAAAATAAACTTGAGCCTGCGATCATTTGAAACTGGTAATTTGTCAGCGGATAACTTCAAAAATACTCGACCTCGGTGGGTCGACGCTTAAACCCGCGGTACGGTCAGGTTATACTGGTCAGCGGATACCCTGTTTTGACAGCTTTCAATTGATCACAACATCGATGTGCAATTAGATTTCTCTTGGACTCCCAAAATAGCTAGAAAGTGTGAGAGTAAACATTGGTTTCCCTGTGGTGCGGATGGACGGTCGCTCGCTCGGTCGGTGTACGATCATGTGATTACCAAATTTTCTGGGATGGGTAGATTTACTTAGCTATGGGGCTTCGACCACGCGCGGTGTTTCGCGCTGCTCGTGGATCTCCGCTATAAAATGCTTCACCCTTATAGCATCCCATAAATGACCTACCTTGAAGTACCCTAAACTTATATGTTTCCTCATCAAAAAAATTTTTTCTTTCAGTTGTGTTGCGGCACTGTATGATAGATGACGAGTTGCCGTTGCCTGTACCTAGCTAGATCGCTTGCATTGGGACAAAAGTAAGGTTAAGCTTCGAGACTAGCCCTCGGCCAAAAGAGGAGCGAAATGGACTGCGAGAAACGTTGTGCCATTGTAAAATGGTCACCATTGGAAAAACGAAGATAGTATTTTTCTCTGATCGAGTGTTATAAAATAATGTATATTCGGGGGCGGATCCAGGATTTTTTTTAGGAGGGGGTGCACTCGTCTCTTGCTCTACTTCAACACCAATAAACCCCATAGTTTTTTTTTTTTTTTTGCAGAATACCAATTGTATTAGAAAACCGCAGGTCATCTCGGGGGGGTGCGCACCCCCTGCACCCTCCCCCTAGATCCGCCCCTGATATTTTATTTAAATAATCTCGAATTTCAAGACTTTTTCCAGTTAGCTTCAAAAACAACAAGGAGCAACGATAGTTACATTCAGGAGCCTATGATAGGCTCCTGTTACAAGTTAAAATGTAAAGCATCTAGTTTTAACTGTTACAAATGTTCATTTTTTTAAGGGCGGAAAATCTTCCGTGTTTTAAGCGTTCCTTAGGATCATTTTTAAATATCTCGTAGTATTTTCTTTTTATTCCTTATTGGTTTTATTTTCAACTACCTTTTTGTATGTAAATTTTTAACATTTTTCTTTAGATAGTTTTTTACATAGGGCCAACCTCTTAAACTACCTTTTCAAAGCATTCTTTGTATGTGTGTATATATGTTTGTATGTACATGTACAAGTCATATCACTGAGGACTCCGACAAATTTCTTACAAAACAGATATTGTTAAAATTTCAGATAAGGAATGCCAATCTATGTACATAACGTTTCTCAAGTTAACTGATCGCTCTTAAGCGCCTTTTATAGAGAAATGACGTCCCAGTCTACGTTTATTTTATCCATTTTATTTCATAGTTTGTTTTTAAAGAAGTGAAATTAAAAAAGGTTTAGTTAATTTCATATATCCTTTTCTTCACAAAGATTTTTGTGCAAACGCGTGTAAGGCAGTATAGCAACAATTCAGATAAAAGTTGATTTCCTCTAAGATCAGCTGTTTGCTTAGTGTAAAAATATCTTGTTCTTTAATAGCAGATTCCGTTCACACTTAAAATTTTGAGCAAGATAAAACATAACTAGTGTGGCCTTGAACGTATGGCCCGTAGTATTATCGTATTAGCCTCCTTTGGCTCGTCACGTAACCATCCTCGTCACGAAGGAACGCGTGACGAAGCCTGAAGAACGTCTGCGTGGCAGGCTTCAACGACGTTCCCGGGGTTCTTTCTCTTGCTTCGAGAAAGAATCCTGGTTGCGATTGGTCACTCGGAAATGTGTGTCAATAAATTGCGCAGCGGGAGTTTGGCCCTCCTCTACATTTTATCGACTGGACGATGAAATACCATCTTGGGTAGGGAGACAGTTCTTACTTGAAAATTCTGACATGCTCTGAGTTTCTTGCAAACTGCGTTGCTTTCAGCTAGTAACGATAACTTTATTTTGAAGGCAAAACAGCTTCTCTCATTTGAACTAGATTTTGCACTTTTGCCCGTCACTGGAGCAATGTATGAATGAGATGAATGAAACTTTATTTAATCTCGTGATTTAATGAGGTTGGTTAGACCTCTAGCAATAATAAAATATGCTAATAAGCTGAGAAAAAACATGTGGATCGACGTATCCACAAAATGTTAATTATTGTGTTTAGAGTGATTTTACTTGACCCTTAAAACAGAGAATAACAACTAGCGCAAAATAGCTACAAGTAAACAAAAGAAGACTATGGAATTAGTGCATAACAGCGCGTAATATTCCACAGTTGAACGGGGCAGTCTAAAATGAAGACTGCGGACTATTGTTTTTACAGTTTTTAGGGTTAGAACTCTCTCTTCCGCAGAGGCTCCCTCTGTGTATTCCTAGCCAATAAAAATATATAGCAATAATCGAAACAATGCAAACGGGCCTCTGCGGAGGAGAGAGGGGTTAGAAAACAATGGGACTATTGCTGTCACGTTCACATTCGCATGGTGAAAACAATAGTCTGCAGTCTGCGTTTTACACTGGCCGCAGTCGAACCTCCTCTGACGGCGACCTCTCTACAACGGAAACGGCCATTGAAGTGTGTTCCTAACTGACAAAATAAACTCTCGACAACAACCCTGTTTAGGACTCAAGACCCTGAAAACCATACGTATACACTGTTCAGCGACACATACCCGTCTATCCCAAATAGGGGAAGGACGCTGTTCTTCCAATCAGAAAAAGATGACAGTGTATTTAGTTAGTGACTGTTCCTAAGCCGGCAAAGTCCATCCGGCCCAAAAGAAATTTGATCGACAACAACCTTTTAAAATTAACTGTCCCCACAGATCACGCGTCATACATCACCACATTGCGTCAAACAGGAAATCGGCTGGGACCTGTATTTTGTTTTTTCTTACGGTATCCTTTATTTGGAAAGTTTCATAAGAAAAAGAAAATGTGGACTTTGCAGGTTCTAAAAGACGGTCATGAACCACACACATTTCCATCATTTTAAGAACATTATGGCTCAGGAGCCCAAATAATATACATATCCCTGTTCCCAGTTTATGCTTGACGGCTCCAAATTTTTTCGTAACGATCGGACTTAACGTGGTGGCGGAGTATTGGCATATCTTTCCTCACGCCTTCCTTCCAAGAAACTCAAATTACCAAGAACTTTCACAACCCTAGAGGCACTTGTCATTGAATCAAAGTTCGGCAAACACGATGTGGTGATCATGGGATTATACAAACCCCCGAAAGCGGCTGGTATGGACTACTACCTTAGACTGGAAAATGACCTGAACGATATTGTCACTTGGGCAACGTCACAGAAACAATTCGTTATTATAACGGAAGACTTGAACCTAAACAGGCTCAAACCCGATGAGAGAGAAGGTAAAATTCAGCGTGATCTGGAGGATATACACGAGCTGTCATGTTTAATCAACAAACCTACAAGAATAACAAACATAAGTCGAACGTTAATAGATGTCATTTTGGCTAATCAGATTATTAAACCAGAAATGTTTAAAGAAAGCGATGTTTACGACCCAGGATTCAGTGATCATCGAATGGTTTATGAAGTCACGAGGGAAAATGCAATACATTATCCTTGCAAGGTTATATCATTCAGGAGTGTCAAGAACTTAAACGAGGACGAACTGTTGAAGGACCTTAGCGTTGCCCCCTGGCACGTAGGGAATATTTTTGACTCGGTTGACGATCGATACTTCTACTGGAGTAAGTTAGTCAATGATGCTCTAGGTAATCATGCACTCCAGAAAAAATTGAGGGTCTGGTCGAGGGACGTGGAATACATGACTCCGGAATGGAAAACAGCAATTCGAATGAAAAGGAAGTACACAAAGAAGTTCGCTAAGGACCCATCACAGGAGAATCTCATAAATAAGAACAAGTGGAGAAACACAGCCACTAAGCTCAGGAGACGGGCAATTAAAGAGTACTGGAAAACTAAGACGGACTCATCCGGCAGCAATCCTAGAGATTTCTTTAAGAAGGTGTTTAAGCCTTTTCTGGACTCTAAGGCACGGGGAACTGACGACAACGTTATTAACCCAGATTTTAATGATAGTATTATTTTAAAAAGTTTAAACTAAAGTTGTAAACTGTCTCGTAGACTATTTCACCACGGTAGCCAATGATATTGGTGACCCACACATGTTATCACTAACGGAAGAAGAACTGAAAGATCATAAAAGCATACAAAACATACGCAAAGTAGCCACAACAAATGGCGCGCAGTTTAAATTTCGCAACTTTAACGTGAAAGAAGTTACTAAGGCTCTGGAAACCTTAAATCCAAATAAAAGTATCGGTGACGACAAAATTCCACCTAGAGTGCTAAAGCTGGCATGTAACGTCCTCGCGCCGTCGCTAACAAACATCTTCAATGTATGCATACAGACCAGCAACTGGCCCGAGCAATGGAAAAGGGGTATATGGGTGCCTCTTCACAAGAAGGATAACCACAGTGATATTAAAAACTGTAGACCTATTACAATTCTTGCCGCCGTCGACAAATTTTTTGAACAGTTGCTTAGCAACCAAGTAACGCAATTCATGGAGCCTTATTTGAGCAATTGTCTAACAGCTTACCGAAAACAGAACAGTTGGCGAGACGACTTTGATCAAGCTTATGGAGGATTGGAAAGAAGCATTGGATAATAGTAATGTCGTAGGGATCTTATCAACAGATCTATCCAAAGCTTTTGACTCGCTTCATTCACCCCTATTATTGGCAAAACTAAAGGCATATGGTTTTGAAGATTGTGAAATTGGTCTTATGAAGTCATATTTCTCTGAGAGATAGAAGAGAGTTAGGATAGGGACCAATACCATAAGTGATTGGCGGAAAACCGAAAGGGGATGCTCTCAAGGGTCTAACTTTGGTCCTTTAATGTGGAATATTTTCCAAAACGACCTTATGTATAACATACAAACTGATAAGTGCAGTGTAATGATTTATGCAGATAATCATCAAGCTTATACTTTCGGGGAACGAATCGAAGACGTTGAGAGTATTTTGAACCATGAGGGGAAGGAAATTTCAAACTGGAATAAGGACAATCTACTCATGTGTAATCATGAAAAATTTCAGTCGATGAGTCTCGGGTCGAAGCATAAAAATAAACAGATGAAAATTGATGTTATGAACAATGATATTGAGAGTCACTCTGAAATGAAATTACTGGGAGTGACCATTGACGAGCATTTGAATTTTAGTAGGCATATTGGAGAGGTATGTTAAAACGCATTTAGGAAGGTTGGAGTTTTGATGAGGCTTAGAAACATGTTTACAACATCAGCCAAACTTAAGATTGTCATTTCTTTCATAATGCCTAAAATTACATACTGTCATACAGTGTGGCATTTCTGTCGGGCGTCGGATAGCACTATAGGCAGAAAGATGGAGCGAGTACAAGAGCGAGCGTTAAGAGCCGTCAACTGCGATACGAGAAGTTCATACGATGAGCTCTTGAGAAAAGCTAAACTCACGACACTAGGCTGTCACTGATTGCAGGATATAGCCATAATTAAGTATAAGGCAAAGTACAATATATGCCCTCCTTACATAAAGGACATTTTTAAGCTAGATAAAACTAGGTTATGGGCTTAGAAATTCTGGTGACTTTTTTATTCCTCGATACAACACAACAACTTACGGGAGACATAATCAATTTACAGCTTTAAAAAGAAAATTCGTAAGGTAGATCTTGAACAAGTAATCACAGAGGGCTGTAAAGACTGCTTTCTATGTTGTACATAAATGACATTTTCTAGACAAAAAGGACACCTCTTCATCAATAAGTATTATTTTATATGATGAATCCAAATACGTTTTATCGAAATTTTTTTTAGGATGTATATTTTTGTAAATTTTATTCTTTGTGAATATTTTTTATATTAATTAGTTAGAGCTGATAGTATTTTAATTTAGTGTCCCCTATTAGTAGGCCTTACATGGCCACCTAGAAGACCTGACACTGAAATAAAGTTTATCATCATCATCATCATAATCCGGAGCGAGCAACTTCCATGCGCTCGTGTGACGGCGTTTTCATGGACCAGTTCATTTTTAGAACGGTTTCGGCGCTATTTTTTGAATATCTTTTAAATTCCACCAACCAGTCAGCAAAACCTACAGACCTAAAAACTAAATTTTTCGCCTTTTAATAACGTTTGGTGTTTTTTTTTTTTTTGATATCTTATTCTTCAAATACGCTCATAGACATGGTGGAGATTCTATTTTCGCGGGAAAAAGTGCCCTAAAATGTGTCTAAAAATAAACTGGTCCGTAAAACGCCATGGCATAGGCCTAGTATGAGAGTGGCTCTCTCCGGGTTATAGGCTCCTGTATGGCTACAATCTTGGACAAAAATTGTAAGAAAAATGCACCCTGTATGTCTAATTTAGAATACTTCCCTCTAAGGCCCGGTTAACTCAAGATACTTCCCCCACAAAAAACACAATGTTGAAGTGTGGCCGGAACATTTTTGCTCCCGACTAAACAATATTGACCAGGGAGGGGTGGGGGGAGGGGCCACCATGGTGCCCAATTTGAGGGTGGGTCTGCTGTGAGTAAGAAAGTGCAAAATTGTCACCACTTTTTGTCCAAGATTGAAGATGCATAGTTTGCCGAGGAAATTCTTCTGTATATTACTTTTTTCACTTGAGTGAGCTGTTGTTAATTATGACTGTTTTGTTTTTATGCTATGAATTTGCTTTACTCTTTGTAATTTTCATGACTTATGGCTAATTATGGCCAGTTGGTTTTAATAAATATTGTGTATTTTCTAGTTGTAGTAGAAAATGTAGAAGGTCCTAGACTTGTGAGTAATGTTCTTTAACAGTCGATAACACATCTCCGATTTACCCCAAGTTTCTGTTTCAAAGCGAGGCTAAGGCTATATTCACACTATACCGGCACTAAAAATGCTATCAGGTATAGTCTGAACACCTATCCGTATTGTGAATCTCCACTCTAAAGATTGGCGTGGCGCAGATTCGCTCCGTGACCAAAAGCGCGCCGAAATCACCCATCTTTTCTGTGAACAGAGGCGATATCTAGCATGATTTTCGTGATGGCGCAAAAGCAATCCGGTGAAGTGTGAACATAGTCATTATCATAGCCTAAATCAGGAGTTTATTCTCATGCAAATAAAACTATTTTTTACAAGAAAGATGTTGCGCTTTAAAAGGCTCGTGAAATTTTAAGATCACAATTATTCTGCTCCCACTATTTTTATTATTTTCTAACATTAAAAGAACTTTTGTACATTATACAGACGTGAATCTCGTTGTATATTATTAGAATATTGTTCATGAAATTGAATAACAAGCTGATGTTAGTTTTTAAAGAAAATCAATCCTTTTTGGACGTCATGTTAAGGAATTATGAATTAAATGTACACTGCACGTGCTGAAAGCATTAAATGAATTAGTAAAGGGGATGGCCGTGTGAGTTGAGGGTTGAGTCTATTATCAGGACTAATAATTAACTTTGAAATTGTTAATTCAGTTGGTCGGGGAAGTTTTACATTTGTCAGGAAAAAGTCATAAAATTTCAGAAACCTCTTGCTTTGGCAACCATCCTTGAGCGACTGCAACCATTTTTTAGCCTGACAGTTGTATTATTCTCCATTGTTTTTAACTTCTTATAAGCGACTACTTGATACATGATGTGGTCTCTGATCGAAGAACTTTTATTGACATTAATTTTTGGAACCGCTACACTTATACATATAGGTAACTTAGAAATTGCAGGCAATAAATTATCTTCCACAAGGTAAGTGTGTCTGGAACTCGTCTTGGAAGAGACGTCCTGTTTGTCTACTCCAATAATCGAACACCTCCCGTAAGCAATCACTAAATCTTTGTATTTTGGGTGGTTGCTTATGGGAGGTTTGACTGTATTTGTATCTAACAACTGTATCATTTAATATTCAACAAGGCATATTTTATTTCAAAGTTTAATATAACTGCATTCAGCAATTTTACTTACATTTCAACCGAATTATTTTTAGTCAACGACTTAATTTACCAGTACTGTTAACTAGAACCGAAATAAGTTATGATCTTCAACAGAAATGGGTCTGACTTCAATTAAACTTTATTTTGTTATTCAGCAAAATATTTGTTCAACCGAAGCCTATTATTACTTTCTAAAAAAATGTTTTCAAAACAGTCATGTTTCAACTTTGGTGCCTTTTATTGTGGTACACCAAGGTTTTTTTGTGCGTTCACTTCTTGTTTCCACCATAATCATATGTTATCAAAAGATCGATTTTTCTATCTTAAAATGTTAACTTGAGCAAAAAAACTTTGGAATTGCATGTTTGTAAAGATTTTCCAAGTTTCAGCCATTGAGGAAGTGGGTTTGTTCTGCATTAATTTTAGTGGCTGGTGGACTTCTTTTTGTTGCACATCTTTTGCTGTACTGATAAACATTGCTTGCTTATTTAAAATAATTATCGCCTCAGAGCTGAGAGCTGAAGGTTTGGTGTATTTACCAACACTGGTTCTACAGCTAGTGGCCAATATAATTTTTTTTTTGTTCCATACCATGTGTTGTGCTGATGAACATTGCTCGCATATTTCAAGTAATGAGTAACAATGCCTGAAAACTGGTTAGTTATCCACTGATGAGAAAACTTAGGGAGTTAAATTTTAAAGATATTTCCTAGAGTCAATAGATCTAGAAAATTAAGTTTTGGGAAAGGAATGTGTGTGCCCTTGCCATATATACAATGCAGTAGTAAAATACAATGCAGTAGTAAAATACAAGGTTCATCATTATTTTTGTGAAAGTTAACTTTATTATATATGTGATACATAAATACTGCTCCAAGAGATTTTTGTATATGAGATGTAAGAGTGACAATTTTTGAACTGTTGAAGGGGAAGATAGTGCCCTTTCTTTGGGAAAACTTTCTAGAGACACAAATAAAAAAGGACAAAGTGTGAACTTTGCTAACTCCATCTAATGTACAGCAAAATTTTTTATTTGTGGCAATTCAAATTGCTACATTATGCACTCATATAGTCCTATTATATGTTTTCTATCACAAACCCTTCCTTGTCAAAAGTGAATTAACCG